GGGGGGGGGGGGAGAAATCCAGGATCCAGGAGGCTGGTCACAAACGGACGGTAGCCAGGAAAGGAGTTGAGGTAGGAGTGCAAAGAGGAGGTGTCGAGGAGGAGGCAGCATGACGGGGGGAAGGAAGGAAGGCGATGCTGGCCAGGTGGGCCGTGGGGACTGGGGAGAGGACCTAGGCTTTCTCCTCAGGGCACTGGAGAGCCATGGCAGGTTCTAAGCAGGGAGGCTCAGGAAAGCTCTCTGGAGACCTTGCTGGATCAGAGGAGGTGTGGCAGGCGGCAGGGGAGAGGGGAGAAGGCAGACATGCGGAAAAGCAGGTGCTGGATGTGGTATATCCAGGGTGCTGGGCAACTGAAGGGCAGGGTAGGTGGGTGCTCGGGGTGCGGAGGCCAGGCCATGCTCACAGGACACGTTCACCCCCAGCGTCCGAGTGAGCACCACGTCCTCGGCAGCATCGAAGTCCTCCACCCGGCAGCCGTACGTCCCGCTCTGGCTCCGGTTCACACCCTCCAGGGTCAGCTTCCCTTCCAGGTTTGTGCTCAACACTTCCTCCTGCCTGTCCTGTGAACGGAGGTGACGAGCCAGGCTCAGGTGCCACCCTGGCCAGGGGGGTCACTCCCAGTCGGGGGACACTGAATTAGGCCGCAGCCCACTCAAGTCAGGGCTCAGGGTCACCCGAGAGCCAGGTCAGAGGTCCTTTAGCTCACGGTCACCAGCCAGGCCAAGACCACCCAGACCCTGGGGGCAGGGATGGGGCATGGGGCCCTGGGTTCCATCCTGAGCACTGCCAAATAATTAGCCACTGGCACAGGTTATTGTGTCTCAGAGGTCAGGGCTCCAGAGGGACCAGGCTGTGTCACCTGAAGGCGGAAAAACGTGTACTCAGGATTGGGGCTGCCGTCCCCCTGGCAGAGCAGCTGCACAGAGTCGCCCTCGCGCACCCAGCCCTCCGTGGTGGACGGGCTGCCCACCCAGAGGTGCACGTGTTCCGTGGGATCTGCGGGAAGGGCCGGAAAGATGGGGGTCAGAGTCGGGGCGGCACTGAGGGAGAGATGTCGGCAGCCCTGCACCGCTTGGGAAGGCTGTGGTGATCAAAGGGGAGAGGCCATGTTTCAAGGCTCAAGGTCATGCCTGTTCTGACAGTGGGACTGGAGGTCAGAGGTGGACAGGAGTCGAGGGCACAGGTCAAGGTTCAGAGGTCAGTGAGGTCTGGAGCCAGATTCCTATGGGGCTCCCTCCATTCAGTAGGAGGAGGCGGGGTGCTCGGAGTCCCTGGGTCCTATGCAGGGGTCAGAGTCAGGATGGGGCTTGTGCTACCACGTGAGGTCACAGGTCAGCAGCCCTGACAGGGAGCGTGAGGCCCTGTCGCCGTGGGGGTGTGGGGCCTCACAGTGCAAGGTGAGGTTGAAGGCAGGGCTGTCCAGGCGGCCGTGACGGTCCCCGGGCAGCCTGTACTGAGCGACGCAGTGGAAGCTGGCGCTGCGGTCGGCCTTGCGGACGCGCAGGTAGAGGGTGCTGGAGAGGGACAGCAGGCCCGAGGCCTCCCGGACTGTGCGGAGGGTCATATATCCATCTTGGAGAGAGGCAGAGGCGTCAGTGGGGCCCAGTGCCACCCACCCTAGTCCAGGTCTCCCTGGCTTTGAGGCTCACCTTCGTTCATCTCCGTGGGCAGCTCCAGGAGCCGCCCGTTCCGGTACCAGCTGATCTGCGGGGCCGGGTTCCCGTTCCGGCTGCTGCAGGTGGCGACCTGAGGCACACAGGACTCTGACTCCCGGGCCCCCCATTCTTCAGGCTGAGGCCAGCGAGGCCTCCGTCCCACCCCACCTCCGGGCCCGGGAGTCAGGGCCGGTCCTCACGTACCTGCGGGGCATTGTCCATCACGGACAGCGTCCCTCTGTTGGGGAGTACCTCGGTGGCCTCCGGTTGCTCTGTGGGGACGACGCGCGTGTCAGGAGCCCCTCCTTCCCCTCACCCGCCCTGCCCCTCCCAGCGGTCCCCGGGACACTCACCAAACACCCGGAGCCTCGAGGTGGCCTCGGCGGTGCCCGCAGCCCCCGCGGTCACCACGCACACGTAGTCCCTC